CAGACAAGACTGTGGACCATGAGGTGGGCTTCTCCGGATGTGCAGAGGCGAAGATCATGACGTGATAACACGTCTTCTGCCCCATTGCCCCAGCTGCTTGGCTCCAGGTATGGGATGCTGGAAGGATTAGCAAGGGCCAGGCTAGTAAATAGGCTGTATTTCCACCTCTGCACCTTTGAACTGTCTGTGCCATCTGTCGGGAACTCCTAGAGCACTCTATTCATGGTTCAAAGCCCTTGCACCAATGTCCCCTCCTCCAGAATCCCCTCCCTTGCCCCGCACAACCTTTTCCCATCCCCTCCATCCAGCCCAGCCCTTTCTCCTTGGGGCTGCGGATGTTTGTATCTCTGACTCCCCAGGATGGGAGCTCCTCGAGGGCCAAACTGAGGTTGAAGTTTCTGGGGGCCCAGCCAGGCCCAGGATAGTATGGGAGAGTGAGAGGCTGCCTAGGCCATGTGCCCCCAGCCCCCACATTTCCCTCTAGAGGCCTCATTAATTTGCCACCAGCAGCTTGTTAGCTGCCACCTTCTCTGCCGTGGGGGAATGTTTTACACACACCCTAGGATGTGAGACTCATTACCTGCTGCAGTGCAATCTGCCCGCGGCTGCGCCCTGACACCCCAGGATCCCAGCAGGAGGCTCCAGACCCACATGGGTAGGAGAGGATGAGTCATAGGCGGTCCCTACCTCTATGTGACTTGGAGCAAGTGGCAAGACCTCTCTGGGCTTCAGACACTCCACATGGACAGACCTGCAGGTCTGAGCTGACTAGGAGCTCTAACAGAGGGCACAGAAGCAGAGGCAGGAACCCCGACTTTACAGTACCCATGCCAGCAGGGTTCCAGTCCCGGGGTGTGATCAGGGTGCAGGCAGCGAGGCTTCCGTCCCAGCCCCGAGGTTGCCATTCAATGCAGTATGTCAGGCCCTGGGCTCGGGCTGGCCACTGCATAGTGGTCCCAGCCACTCCAGTCCTGACGCTCAGAGCTCCTGGTTCTGGAAGGAGACAGGCAAGCGCATCAGGATACTGGGTCACTCTCTCCCACCCAAAGGCCCCAGCAGCCCCATCCCACCCTCTGGCCAAGCTCTAAGCCCACAGGGGCAGAAGTGTCTGTGTATGGCTGTCTCCCCAAGCTGGGGGCTGCCAGGTTGGAGGCTGGCACAGAGGGGGTGACAGCAGCTGTCTGACTGAGCTGAGTCCTCTCCCAGCCTGACCATGGGCTCCCCACCAGGACACCCACCACCAGTGCTCCCTGTGCTGCTGGGCTGCCCTGCCCCCGACCATGCTGGGTGGGCATGGGGCAGGATGGGCCGCCTGGGCTGGTCAAGGCTCGAGGCCCAAGGATACTCCCAGTCAATCCCCTGGGCTCATGTTTCCCACTCCCTACAGCAAGGGCATTAGCCACAAACTCAGAGAGGGAGGTGCTGCTTGTGATTCTGAAGGCAACTACCATTTACTGAGCACCACCTTTATGCACCAAACCACTGCCGAGTGCGTACTTCGCTACAAAGTGGGACATGATCACCCCAACAGTACAGAAACTGAGGCTCAGAGAAGGGGAGCCACCAGCCCGTCACACAGCAAAGCCATGGCCCAAACCGGGCCAGGAGCTGAAAGGTGAAGTACCTTACCTTTCTGAGCCTCAGGTATCTCATCTCTGAAAATTGTGTCCTTGTAGCAGACCTGCCCTCCCAGGGCCACTGGGTGCGCAGCAGGGCTACCGTCAGGGTAAGGCCAGTGAGGCACTTGGCAGGCAGGAAATTCAGGGAGGCACCGAGTAACTCGAGTCGGATAAACACTATTTTAATGCAATATTTGTTTAAAACCCAAAGGAATGCAAGAATATGTGATGGGCAACAGCCCAAATGTCTGAGGATGGATAAATAGATAAACAAAACATGGCCCATCTATACAGTGGAATATTACTCGACCCTAAAAGGAATGAAGCGGTGATCTATGCTGCAGTGTAGATGAACCTCAAAAGTATCATCTTGAAAGAAAGAAGCCAGACATGAGGCCACACAGTGTGTGATTCCATCTGTATGAAATGTCTAGGATGGGTCAATCTACAGAGCAGAAAGATCGATCAGTGGGTGCCAGGGGCTGCATGAGGCGGGTGGGAGGTGGCTGCTTGTGGGGATGGGGTCTCATGGGGTGATGGGCATGCTCTCAAACCAGAGGTGGGGGTTGTACAATTTTGCGAATGCACTCAATGCCACTGAATCATACATGTTAAAATGGTTAATTTGGTATGTAAATTTCACCTCAATAAGATGTATATGTCAATTACCTACATAGACACATAAATATAAATCTTTATTTTCATTATATAAATATATGTATAAACATATGTACATATGTGTATAATATAAACATATGTTTATATATATAATGTGTATATATATATAAAATAAACAAAATATAAAGATTTTAAAATTAAGATAGGATCAGTCCTGTACTTGCCTGACTCTGCCTCACACGCCAGACCCTGACCCTGTCCCTGGTCCCAAAAAAACTTTATTTATAAAAACAGGCAGTTAGCATGGCAACTGTAGTTTCCCAGTTCGCCTTTGAAAATACGTTGTGTTAAAACATTCTGTGTCTCAAGACTTTTGACATCCTCCGAAACTGGACACCCCTCAGATATTTGTGCCCCACTGAGCTCACTCTAGTTGCGCTGAGGCGCTCAGCTCCGAGGTGCCCCCCGCAGCCCTTCCTACCCGGAGGAGGCACCTGTGCTGGTGTGGGCAGGAATGTGCCACGTCTGGTTTGAGCCGGGGCCGAAGCGATTCCAGGAGACCACAGTCAGGTTGTAGGCGGCGCCCGAGAGCATAAGCACTTTCCTCAGATGCCGCATCCTCGTGGCCTTGCCCTTGCACGGACAGGACAGCATGTGCAGGTGGATGTAGTAGGTCACCTCCATGCCAGAGCTGGGCCTGAGGCAGCCTTCCGGAGCCTCCAACTGGGGCAGCTGTCGTGAGTGCCAGAGATGGCTCATGGAGACCTGAACGTGCTCACTGTCCCTGTGATATACCAGGGTGCAGCCCACAAACACAGACCCACAAGCCACAGCTTATGATCTATGCCAAAATTTTGAAAAATAATAAACCTTGATGCTAGCAAGGCTGCTGGGAAACCAGTATTCTTGTCCAGTGCACATTACTTTGGGGGGAAAATAATTTGGCAAAACCCACTGAGGGCCAGAGGTAAAAAACTGTTTCCATGTTTGGGCCCAGTTAACTCAAGCCTGGAAATGTTTCCTAATAAGGAATTTAAGTTAGAGAAAACCCAGGAAGCAAAGGAACTTCCCAGCGACCTTACTGATATCCCTTAGGTCCCTGGCTGAATCTATTATGGCAAAACCAGGGGTGGAATATTTGGTGGTTTTTCCCCGGACTCTGGCAAGAGATTTTCCCGCTGAGCCTCAGTTTCCTTTTTCTGTAAAATGAGGCTAGTCAGACTGTACTTAATGGATTGTTTGGGGAACTTCTGAGAAATCATCTCCCATTCAGACCAACACAGTCGACTCCTTCCTGGCCCTTGACTTCCCCCTGAGCTCCCTACAATCTGTTCTGGCAGCCAGACAGATCCTGTGAACACCTGAGTTCAGCCATCTCCTTCCCCTGCTCATACACCCTCCGTGGCTCCCCACTACCTTCAGAGTTACCTGCAGGCCTCCCAGTTCTGCCACCTCCGTGTCTCAACCCTCTGTCTCCTGCCTGTGCACCTCCACTGCAGCCTCTCGGCTCCTTCCCCGCTGCCCCAGACCACCCCATGGCCCTGTAGTGGCCCTGTTACCTGCCAGTGCAGGGCCACCCGCCTTCTCCCATCCAGGCCAAGGGGCTCCACCGAGAAATTCACCTCAGGCTGTGGGGTAGTTTCTGCAATGAGACACTAAGACAGTGACACTGCGGCCGGTGCCCTTCCTCACAGCCTCCTGCAGACCTAGATTGGGGGACCTTTACCTTCCTTCCCAGGAAACATGAGATTCCCATGGATTGTTAAATAGTATTCCAGATCGGAAAACCTGGAGATCCATTCCACAACAATGTGAAACTATTTTAAACTGTTGAACTGAACACTTAAAAATGGTTTAAATGGTACATTTTATGTTATGCTTTTTTTTACCACAGTTTTTTAAAAAATCTGAAAACAACCCTTGGAGTTGTTTCCCAGCAGAGAATGTACTTGGGCAGGAGGAGGCCCCAGATTACAGGGCAGAGGGGGCAAATGACAGTCACTCCATCCATCCCTCCCTCCCGGGCCACCTCTCCATTCCCGTCTCGAGCTTCCTGTGCCATTTGGGAAAGAATGTCTTCATGACACAGCCAGTGTCACCTGTCAACACCTCTGTGGCTTTAAAAGAGCAAAACCAACCAAACAAAATGGAAAGAGAGAAAGACAGAGAGATGTCTTCTTTTTAGATATGGACTGGCCACATTTTACAAAGTGAATCTCACTCACTGCCCTGCCACCTTTTGAGAATTTCACTAACTTCTCCTGCTGCCTTATTTCTAACACTCACCGCCTGATTTCAAATACCCCCGCCCGGTTTCTAATGCCCGCCCGGGTTCCTGCAGCTCCGGGTGCTCTCACCAGGGGGGATGCACACAGAGCTGCTCCAGCCACTCCAGGGACCTCCCAGAGCTGCCGCCGAGAGCTGCCGCCTCCGTAGCTGAAATTCCTGGGCTGCATCCATCTCCAGGGGACAGAGGCATGACTCTGGCAAGAAACAGGCCGAACATCAGGCCAAGGGACTGTCCCCCATGTGACCAGGGCTTGGCACTGGCCACTGAGCCATCGTGCACTTACCGAGTACCAACTGTGCTGGGCCCTGGAGTCACAGCAAGAATAGGTTTGGCCCTGTCCTTTTGGGGCCTCAAGGATCCCACACTTCTGTCCCTGCCCCAGGTTCAAGCCCCAGGAAGGCCACCCACTGGGATGTGACCTTGTCCAAGGGCTTCTCACCCTTAAGAATTTGTTTCCTCACCTGTGAAATGGGAATAATCCAATACTGAGCTACAGGGTGGGCCAACAGGCACACAAAGAATTTAGCACTGGACCTGGCACACAGTGGGTGCTCAATGAATGCTAACTTGCTGCAGCTGTTGTTACTATTATTCTCACCGAAGCCAGCATCAGCCTGATGTCCGCAGTCACCCTAGGATGAGACAATATTCCCTTATTGTTTACATGTTGGTGTTGACAGATATTAGCTCTGTTGAAATTTTAAACAATTAACTCTGTGAAATGCAATGTGGAAGCATGGATTGGATCCAGGAGCAAGAAAGGACATTCTTGGAAAAACAGATGACATCCAAATAACCTCTGGAGTTTAGTTCATAGCAACGTACCAGCGTTCCTCTCAGCAATGACAAACACACTCAGGAATGTAAGACGTGAATACGCAGGGAAGCTGGGAGATGTTTCTACAGGAATTCTCTGTACTTCCCTGTAACTTTTCTGATCATCTAAGATTATTCCAGAATTAAAAAGTTTATTTAAAAGGATTATTTTAGGAGCAAAATTATTATTTTGTATTTCCCTGAAAAAAAAATAATTATTTTAGGAGGCAAAATCTGTCTGTCTGTGGTATTGGGGGCGGGCAGAGACAAGTTTAGCGTCACTACTGCAGAGTGTGCTCAAGGGGCTGGAAATAAAACATAGGAAGATGTCTCTCCCCATCAGGGGTCCCATGTCGCCTGCCTCTGGCTGATCTCTACCCACTCTCCTAGTGGAGAAACCGAGGTTCAGAAAGACACACCACACTTAGGGGGATGAAAGGCCTGCAGCTGACTTCCTGGCCTCAAGGTGCTCCCAGTCTGAGGGAGGAGGTGATGCCACAACTCAGAGGGTAGGGCTCTCTGTTCCTCCCAAACCACGGGCTCCTTGGGGACTAGGTCAGGGCCGAGGTTTCTTGCAGGCCCAGGCTTGCCCTGCCCTTGGGGAGCAGAGGAGACAATCAAGAGAAGATCCTAAGAGGACATCTGTGTGGCCAACAGACGTGTGAAAAGATGCTCAACATCACTAATCATCAGGGAAATGCAAGTCAAAACCACAGTGAGATGCCACCTCATGCCTGTAGGAATGGCTATTACCAGAAAGACAAGAAATAACAAGTGTTGGCGAGGATGTGGAGAAAAGGGAACCCTGTGCACTGGTGGTGGGAATGCAAAGTGGCACGGCCACTATGGAAAACGGCACGGAGGTTCCTCAAAAAATTAAATACAGAGCTACCTACCATACAACAATCCCGCTTCTCGGTATTTATCTGAAGGAAACCAAAGCTCACTCAAAAAAGTATCTTGGACCTCTCTGTTCATTGCAACATTATGTACAATAGTCAAGACATGGAAGCAACCTAAGTGTCCATTAACGGATGAATGGATAAAGAAGATGTGGTATATATCTATGCAATGGAATATTATCCAGCCATAAAAAAGGACATCTTGCCATTTGCAATCACATGAATGGGCCTTCATGGTATTTTGCTAAGTGAAATAAGACAGAGAAAGACAAATACTGTATGATTTCACATACATGTGGAATCTAAAACAAAAAAAACAAAACCGACTTCAGAAACAGATAACGAATTGATGATTCCCAGCAGTGGGGAGTAGGGGTGGGCAAAATGGGTGAACGGAGGCAAAAGGGGTACAAACTTCCAGTTATAAAATAAGTCACGGGGATGTCATGTACAGCACTGTGACTATAGTTAACAGTACTGTATTGTGTGTTTGAAAGTCTCTAGGAGAGTAGATCCTAAAAGTTCTCATCGTAAGAAAATAAAATGTGTAATTACATGTGGTGATGGATGTTAACTAGGCTTATTGCAGTGATCATTTCACAATATATACAAATATCGAGTCTGTTTTATACCTGAGACTAATGTAATATTGTATGTCAGTTACATCTCAAAAAAAGAAAAAAGGAAGGGAGGAATGGATGGAAGGTAGCTTCTTGGAAGAGGCAGCCCTTAAGCTGGACCCTGAAGGTGGGCTGGATTCTCATGTTCTCAGATGGAAAGGAGGGCATGCAGGTGGAGGAAACTGTGTGTGCAAAGATTATGTCTCTGGAAATCCAGGGCATGGGCAGAGAATGACAGCCATTCAGGAGGGGCCCAGAGGAAGCAAGAGACAGGTGAGAGCACATGGGGTCAGCTGAGGATGAGAATGCCCTTCTGAGGGTACTAGGGAGCCATGGAGGGTGTGTGAGTCAGAGAGGTCACAATCAGATCTGAGTATCAGAGACACCCCAGCAGCTAGACATGGGGCAAGAGTTGGACTGGGTTCGAGGGGTAAAGTTATAAATATGGTGAAATTAATTTGAGGGGTGAAGGTGTCCTGGGAGAGGACTCTGCATACCCCTGACCTGGAGAGTGAACTTACCAACTTCCAAGGGCTGCCAGGTGTCCGGTGCCGGAACTGCACTTCAGCCCCATCCTGGCGGGCTGGGGTCTCCCACTCCATGCGCAGCTGCCCTGCTGACCTGGATACCTTGATGTCTTCTGGCGGAGGGTCATATTTAACTGGAAGCATAAGAGGGGTTGGGGAGGGGAACCAGCATGTGTATGAACTGGTTCTGAAAATTCCAGAAAAACTGTCCATGTCCCACCCAACCCCAGGTAACCAACTGAGTCCCCCAAATGTGAATCAGGAACACCTTGACAGTTTCTATCTAAGCCTTGGATTCAATGGGCCAAAGAGTCAAGATTTATACACAGCATTTTGATAGTGAAAATCTGCAAACTATTGGTACTCCTCGCTGGCACCACTGTGGTGATAGGCACTTTTGAAAATTGTTGATGAGAGGCTTAGTGACTTGATTTCTCTGGAGGTTTTGCCCTCTGTCTAGAAGCTGCCCACTGCCGCACCTTTATTCTTTCTGGGTCCTTTTTATTCAGGGTTCAGCATGAGCTGGATGCCCCCTTGACCCCCTACCAGTATCCATCACGTGGCATGATCAGGCCTTGCCCATCATTCCCACCTGACTTGGCTCCATGAAGGCAGAGACTGAGCTGGGATCAGGGGAAGACGAGAGGCAAGGCTGTACACATACAGGGGAAGATCCTATCTTTATTTAAAATTTGGTATTTTGTTCTTCATGGACTTCTTTGCATTAATTTTGATCTTATTCAAATATTGCATTACAGTATTGTTTATATTGACAATACTGATTTTTTTTTGACACACCCTTAAAATTGTGTGGCCAAGGTGGGAGTCTCACTTGTCTTATCCTAGCCCCACCTGGGCTACAACCTCCATTGACCTTGGCCGTGCCTGCTGTGATTCAGCATGGCACCCAGTAGAACTCAATAACTATATACTAAACGCATGTGATTGAGTCATGGAAACAGATATTAAAGGCGTAACGGGGTCCTGGTGGCAGCATTTCAGTATCAGGGAGAAAACAAGTAATCCAAGTGTCCAGCAGCTGGGGATTGGTAAAGGGACTGTGAAAGACTCTGCCATGCGACACAACAGTGTGGGATGTGAAAATGGTTGGCATTGTCAAGCTCCTTGCCAGAATCCCCCAAGGTCTAGGCTTGGAAACCAGAGGCCTCTCTGGGTGAGGAAGTGGGGGCTGAAAAGAGGAGGAGAGCAGGGAGCTGACCCAAGCTATAAAGCTTCAGGGTGACCTCAGGCGACTTCTCTGTCCGGTTCGCGGCCCGGGATTCCACCCAGAGCGTGACAGCATAGAGCACGGATACACCGTCCTGGTCGGAGAACTGCAGCTTGGTGGCTGATCCTGCGGCGAAGTAGCAGCAGCGCCCAGGCCTGAGGCTGTGGGAAGGACAATGTTGGTGCTGAGTCTGGGGGTCCTAGTGGACCCCAGAGTGTCTCAGCAGCCACAGCAGTGTGCATCACATCCCAGCATCCTTTCTTGCCCCTTCTATTCCCCCTTCCCAGCCTGGGGGTTCCCCAGGGAATCATCCTGGGACTGAGGGGCTTGAGGACCCCCAGAATCTCCCAGCATGGGCTGCCACAGAGGGAACGAAGAAATGAATGGATGGATGAATGGGTGGACAAATGGATGAATAAGTGAGAGGGTGATGAAGGAAGGGCTAGAGGGACCCTAACTGCCACCCAACACGGATGCCCACTCACACTGAATACAGGGCCCCAACCTTCCCTTCTCACATAAGATACTGAGCCCCAGGAAGGGGCCAGGACCCTGCCAAAGTCACACGTCAGAGAGCAGGGACATGGAGCCAGGAGCAAGGACGAGATGGGGGTGAGAGTGTGGAGAATGGGATGGGGTCCTCACCAGCACCTCAGGAAGTGGCTGACCCCGGCTGCAGGACCCTCATACTGCCAGGAGCATTCGTAACCAGCGCTGAACACCCGGTAGCAGGTCAGGTCCCTGGGGCCTGAAGCGGAGCCTAGAGCACATCCCAGAGGTTTGAGAATGGGCCATAGGGTGCAGTGGTCTCTGTACTGATGCACCCCCAGGACAGATCTTTGTGACAGTCATGTAATCTGGTGTCACTGCAGCCTAAACCCACTCCCACTGCCCTCCCGGTGCCCTTCCCACCCGGCTCCTGCCATGTCCACCTGCTCACCCTGCTGCAGCCACATCAGCTTCCTCACAGGTCCTCAGGCACATCAGGCTCACTCCCACCTCAGAGCCTTTGCACATGCCGTGACCCGTGCCAGGAGTGCCTTTCCCACCCTGCTCTGGTTTCTCATAGCACATCATTGTCACCATGTGCAGTATACATATTTGTTTGTTTATTGCTTCTTTCCTATGCTAGGGTGTGACCCCAAGACAAGAGTTGGGTTCAAAGCTAATTCCCTCATGCCTAGAACCATGTCTTCACATAATAGGTGCTCAGTAAAAATTTCTTGATCAAAGAACAGATGAAGTGCCCACTCGGTGACAGACCCTTAGTGGGGCACATTATGAGCATAAATTGTCCAGTAATGCCTGCCTTGGGGGAACGTCAAAATGTTGAACAGCTGCTTAGCCCCCCACACTGACCAATCTGAGCAGATGCTGACACCAGCCCTGCGACCCTGCCAGGAAGGAGAGAAGGCTCAGCGGGGGGACTGAGCTTGGGGAAGATAGGCCAGCAGGCTGTTGGGTTGGCTCCCAGGACCCCAGGCCTGGAGGGGTCTGACCCCAGAAGCCGTGATCACCAGTTTCCCATTTGACAGAGCGAAGGATAGAGTCACAGAGACACAGAACCAACCCCGGAACCAGGATCCACGGCCCTTCACACATATGATCCCAGCAAGAGGAGCCGTGGGGACAGGTCAGGGAACTCACCACCCTGCGCGGGGAGCAGAAGGAAGAGGAAGGCCCCAAGGGAGGGGATGCTAGAGGTGGGTCAGTCAGAGCTCAGCACAGTGCCCCCCACCAATGGGAACTGTCCCCAACCTGAGTCTGCATCCGGATAGGGCAGGTCCTGAAAACAGCACCTGCTGGTACTGCAGGCTTCAGCTGCAAAGGCAAAGAAGAGATCAGGGCGTTGCCAGCCTTTCACTGGGAGAGGGGCTTGGCCTGGGGGCTTGCAAGTGACCCTCCACCTACCTACCCACCCACTTGTTCATCTATTCAACCACCAATCCATCAGTCCACACTTCCACCCATCCACCCACGCATGCATCCATCCATCATTTTCCATCCGCCCATCCACCCATCTAGCTATCAACCTCTCAGGCTACTCCTCCAAAGCAATTCAGGGTCCTCTGTTACCCTCCCTGTCGCTGGTCTTCAGCCTTACCTGACCCCAAAAGGCCCTGACATTTTGCTGATCCCATACAGAGAGGGAAACTGTATGCAGAGTGGCAAAGAAGTTGCCCAAGGTCACACAGCGGCAACAGCAGAGCTGGGGTTAGAATCCAAACCCTGTAGGTCATCTGTAGGGGGCTAGACCCCTTCCCATTGGGCTCCACAGGATAGAGACTGTGTATATATATTATACAGACTTATTATATACATACTTGCTCTTCAGCCTTTCCTTAACTGTTTCTCACTGAACTCGAGGAGTTGGGAAAGATTCAGATTCGGCCTATTCCACAGAAGACAAAATCAAGACTAGAGGGGACATCCCCATGTCTGACCCCAGAAGCCGTGATCACCAATTTACCGTTTGACAGAGTGAAGGATAGAGGCACAGAGACACAGAACCAACCCGGAACCAGCATCCAGGGCCCTCCACACATACGATCCCAGCAAGAGGAGCCGTGGGGACAGGTCAGGGAACTCACCACCCTGCGCAGGGAGCAGAAGTAAGAGGAAGGGGGCTAGTGTGGCCACCGGCTGCCCCATTGGGTCCACACAGAGGCCTCCAGCCCCAGGTGAGCTTCTGCACCGCTGGCAAGGCCCCTACTGCATCCTTGCCCCGGAGCACGCTAAAGCTGAGCAAGAAAGAGAACTAAAAAGAAGATTTTAAAAAAAAGGTAAGGTGTCACAGCCCCTCCCAGGGCAAGTCAAAGTGAAAGAGAAACTCAGGAAGCCAGCTCAGCGGCAGCGGCCCCATCCCAGCCACAAACCCACCCTCGGAGCACGCCGGCCCCAGGGCCCAGGACCCGGTGGTCTGCTCTGCTGGCCCCAGGCCCAGGTTGGAGAGAACCAGATGCCAGCACTGTGGGTGGCCCGTGGCTCTGTGCCTCTGGCCAGGTGTCCGGCCTTCTCTAGCCTCTGTAGACTTCAGAGTCTCAGGAGTTGATGGAAGCCCAGTGTCCCTGGACCTCTGAGCTCACTCTCCCAACAAATCATTACGAAGTACTCACACACTAGGCCTCCCCAAATGCCCACCTGCCCATTTCCCAAACTCCAGCCCCAAGGCACCCTGGGTCCCAGCTCCTCAGTCATCTCTGTGTGTCTGTCTCTCTGCCTCTGGGGGTCTCAGTTTCTGACTCTCTCCTGACTGTCAACAAAGACCCAAAATATCCATGGAGAAGAGCTGATTCTTGTAACAAAGTAGATGAACTCTAAAAACATAATGCTGAGTGAAAGAAGCCAGACACACACAACAGTCCACACAGCGTGAGATCCCATTCCCACAAAATGTCCAGAATGGGAAATGCACAGAGACAGAAAACAGATCAGTGGTTGCCAAGGGGCTGGAGGGAGGGAGGGGGAGTCACTGCTCATGGGGCGGGGTCTCCTTTTGGGGTGATGGGAATGTTCTGGAACTAATAGAGGTGATCGTTGCACAATGTGGTGAATGTTCTAAATGCCACAGAATTATTCACTTTAAAATGGTTCATTTAATGTTATGTGATAGTCACCTAAAAAAAAAAATTGTTCATAGAGCCCAAGGGGACTGAGGAGAAGGGGAAACTGAGGCCCAGGTGGCAGGGAGGAGGTCCCTTCTCTGAGCATCTTGGTCCTGAGGGGCCCCTGGGCCTGCCAGGGTCAGGCACCCACAAGGCCATGAGGTCAGAGCCACAGAAACAAAGAGGCAGTGTCCAGGGTCTGGCACAGTGCAGGCAGGGACCCCGTGACCCCACACAGAGCAGCCTTGTTGAACAGCAGGGAGTGTGCTGAGGGCCTGATACATGAGTCCTGGGGGAGGGGCAGAGACCAAGAAACGCACAAAGGAAGGTGGACGGGACACCTGGAGATGGGGGCAAATGCCTGGTCCCTCTCCATGATGCTGAGACGCCACCCCAGGAGATAGCATCAAGGGCCCCATTTTACAGAGGAGAAACTAAGTCCAGAGGTGCCCAGATCACTGAAGACCCCAGCTAGAGGTGAAGACATGGATTCAAACCCAGTGAGGTTGAGCTTTGGGAGTAAGGACCACGCCCCCAGGACTGACCCCACCTCCCAGCCCACCAAGGTCAGCCCTCCCTGTCCACAGCTTCCTCATCTGCAAAATGGGCTGTAGTGAAGATAATGGAGGGCTCAGCTCTGAGCAGGTGCTGCCCACCAGACAGCCAGTGTGATTAGTCATTGTTTTGGGATCCCTGTGCCTCTGATCTTGTCACACCTCTTTCCCATCTGTCAGAGCTGCTACTGGAAAAATATCAAGGGAGGGAGAGAGGGGTATGTGTGGGGACAGAGCTGGATACAGATGCCCCCAACTCCCTGGGGTCAGACTGGGTGCAGAGAGGCTGGGATGTTCTGAGTGGGAGCGGGGAGGGCTGTCCAGAGAGGGCGGCTGTTGAACTGGATTTACAGAACTGAAAGACATTCCTGGCAGAGGGCCCAGCAGAGGCCCAAGTTCAAGGACATGCTTCAGGGAACACCAAGATGAACAGGGAAGGCTTGGGGCTTCGTGGGTGAAATGAAGGTCGCGAGGTGGACAGAGATGGGCTGGGCTTTCTCCCAAGGGCACCAGGGAGCCAGAGTAGGTGTGAGAGCAGGGCCCCAGCCAAACATGAGATGCCCGACATAAGGAGGTCACAGTCGGAAACTCACCCTGAGGATTGCAGAATTTCACATTGGCTGTGCTGAATCTTTGCACACCCACCTCCCTTGGCCAGCCTGCCGCCTACTCCAGGAAGCCCTTCGGGGGCCTTATTGGCCCCTCCTAGCTGCCGCAGAAGCACAACTGATAAGCCCCCAGGGCTGTCCCACTTTCAGATGCCCCACAGACTTGGGGGAGGAGGAGGCAGGAAGACTGGGTTACAGGGGCCCCGGAAAGGAGCGGAAATCATGACAGGAAGAACCACAGAATTTTGCCACCCTTCTGCCTTCTTCCAGGGGAGAGTGGCCTTCAGTCATGGAAGGCTGAACTTCCTTCTGTGTAGCCAACAGACCCTGATAGCCCTGATGAGCATCTAAAGAGGATGTTGAAGGATGAGTAGGAGTTTTCAAGGAGAACATCCATTCCTTCATTAACAAACACATTTATAGGCATCATTCACCAATAAGAACATTTTTGATTCATTCAGCTAGGACTTCCTGATACCTCCAGAGAATCACTTAGGGATGTTTTAAAGAATACATAGGTTACCGAGAACAAAAAGAACCTCATTCGTTTATTCAAAAATGCCACTCCCTGATGCCCTTTATGGAGATATTTGAGGAGGGTTTTGATGGATGCCTAGAAAGTCACAAGAAAAACAATCTATTTATTCATTCAGTGAATGTTCTCTGATGCTTCTCAAAGAGAATTTGAAGTAGATTTTGAAGAATAAATGGGTATTCACCATGGGAAAATTGCATTCATTCATTCAGATAGGCAGTCAAGCAGTCAGTCAATAAATGCTCCCTTTTACCCATTGAAGAACTTCTAGGCAGAAATAACCAGAGACAGAACAGTTGGCCATTACAGGGTGTGAGCTTCCCATCACCTGAGCCATGCAAGCTACAAACTGAAGTTCACTTAATGTTGGGCTACCAGATAAAACACAGGACACCCAGTTAAGTTAGAATTTCAGGTAAACAATACATAATTTTTGAGCATCACTATGTCCTACAGTCTTGTGCAAGACATAGACTGAAAAATTATTCATTGTTTATCCGAAATTAAATTTAACTGGGTAGCTATATTAGTTTGCTAGGGATGCCAGAACAAAGTATCACTGACTAAGTGGCTTCAACAAAGGAAATCTCCCTCCTTACAGTTCTGAAGGCTGGAAGTCTAAGATCAAGGTGTCAGCAGGGCTGGTTCCTTCTGGGGTCCCTGTGGGCTTGCAGATGGTCTCCCCTCCCTGTACCCACACATGGTCTTCCCTCTGTGTGTCTGTGTCTCATCTCTTCTTACACAGACACTAGTCATATTGGATTAGGGCCCAACCATATGATTTTAATTACCGCTTTAAAAGCCCATCTCCAAATAACAGTAACACTCGGAGTTCCTGGGGGTGAGCATTTCAACATATGAATTTTCGAGAACACAGATCAGCCTGTAACAGTGGCTGCTTGGAAAACAGTTTGGTAGGTTTGGGGAAAGTTAAAACAGAATTATCATATGACCCAGGAATTCCATAACTAAGTATATACCCAAGAGAATTGAAAGCGTATGCCCACACAACAATGTGTACAGAAATGCTTTGGAGCAGGCAAAATATGGGAAAATTCAAATGTCCATTAGAGGATGAATGAATAAACAAAAATGTGGTCCATCCACACAATGGAGTATTACTCAGTCACAAAAAGGAGTGAGGCCCTGACACATGCTACAATGTGGATGAACCTTGAAAACATCATGCTGAGTAAGAGAATCCAGACACAGAAGGCCGTGTAGTATATGATCCCATGTATGTAAAACGCCCAAGGACAGGTAAATCCATGGAGACAGAAGCAGGTTTGGGTTCTGGGTGGTGGGGTGGGGAGTGACTGCTCATGAGTACAGCTTATCTTTTGGGGGTGATGAAAACGTTCTGGAATTAGTAGTGATGATTGTACAACTCTGTGAATAAGCTAAAAGACATTGAATTGTACACTTTAAAAAAGTGAGTTTTATAACATGTAAATTCTATATTAATTTAAAATGTGTATGGGAATATTTCAATAAAGAATAGAAACAGGATGTATATAAATAAAAATAAAAGTGACATACTGAGAAAAAAATAAAATTAAAATGTGCATGAGAAAAACAAGTTTTGCCTGGGAGTCTTGTGTTTTTGTGTGCTCTATTTGGCCACTGTAACTTGGTGGACTCTTACAGAACCTCACAGGCTTGGGAGCACACTCTAGTGTCCAGGTCAAACAGTGGGGTAGCCAAGGTAACCTGCAGCTGCAGATGCAGTAGGAGTCTCAGAGAAGGAGAGAACATGGGTGCCATCTGGGGACTTTGGGCTTTTCCCAGCCTCAGGTTCCCTTCTGCAAAGTGAGGCTGAACTGCTATCATCAGATATCTGTGAGAAGCGGACCCCATGAGGCACTTAGCCAGATCCCCACTTGGCACTCAGCAAAGGCACTCATCCTCAAAACCAAAACTGGCAACTTACAAGGGCAGCTTGTTTTTGTAAATAAAGTTTTATTGGGACTAGGGCCAGGCTTAAGATGAGGCAAGTGAGGCAGGGTCATGCAAAGTCAGAATCTGATCAGGTCTTTATTTAAAAATTTGATATTTAGTCAATCATGCATTTTCTTTTATTTTCTTTTATTTTGTTTGTTTTGGTATCATTAATCTACAGTTACATGAAGGACATTATGTTTACTAGGCTCCCCCTTCACCAAGTCCCCCTCACATACC